TGCATTGCATCTTATTTGATTACGTATTTGAAGCATTCAAGAATGACTTGTAATTTCTTGTTGCAAGACTTTCTTTCTGTTAAAAAAAGAAAAAAACTAATAAGTTGCTGATAGGGATGACAATTCTACCCGCACCTTATAAGTTTCTCGCATTCTTGTCCCTACGAATTTTAAAATACCTGCACAATTTGAGTAATGGGTGCGGGGATGAGGGAATTTTGTATACCCACGCGGGTATGGGGACGGGTGCGGGGAGAGGTATCCCTGCCCATATATATATATATATATATATATATATATATATATATATATATATATATATATATATATATATATATATATATATATATATATATATATATATAGGGAAGGGATCAGGTGCATTTGTGGCTTCCAGTGCGGTTGTGCGGTGGATTAATGTGCGTGAGGTTTATACTTAATGTGCGTGAGATTTGTACTCAATGTGCCTGAGATTTGTACTTAATGTACGTAATGTTAATATGCGTGAGTTTTGTACTTAATGTGCCTGAGTATTGTACTTAATTAATGTGCGTGAGATTTGTGCTTAATGTGCGTGAGTAGTTCAGAATTACGAACTCAGAAGGAAGCTGAACAGAAAACTCACACACATTAACGTCCAAGCTTCTTGTTACTTCTTCCTTCAATTTGGCCATGGTTTCTGGATTATCAGCTACCTTCAGTGCAGTTGAATGTTTATATAGATGACGCACGCACAGCAAAATTTGCACATCAACTAAGTGTGGATTTCTGTTGTATTATTCCCATAATTCTTAACCACCATAGCCGCCTCCGCATCATCATCATCAGGGAGGGGGCAATGGCTACTGGGGATGGAGAAGAAGCTGACATCCATATTTTCTGCTGCATTTTACACATTCACGCACATTAAGTACAAATCTTAGGCACATTAAGCACAACACTCACGCACATTGAGTACAAATCTCACGCACATTAATCATCCGCATAACCGTACCGGAACCTTTCACTATATATATATATATATATATATATATATATATATATATATATATATATATATATATATATATATAGGCTTCGAATCTGGTGCAACTTCTATACTAGATTAGATCATGAGATCTCATGATATCCATTGATTCATTTTTCATGAATGGTTGAGATTATAAGAGATTGTGAAAGTAATTAAGGATATATTGAAATCAAAAGGAATAAATAGTAATTGTAGATATATGTTTAATTATGGATATAATTCAATTGAAATCTTAAGCATTATATTAGGGAGATTATGTATGGAAATTGATATTTTAAATTATTAGGCACCCTATATATTAATAGTAATAAATAATTATATTTTTTACATCTGAAATTTTAAATTATGGAAAATTTTACGGTGGTGTGTGCGTGGATGCGGAATGGTGTGTGCGTGGATGCGGAATGGTGTGTGTATTTTATATTTTGTCATGGTGTACACCTCTTGTTACAGAAAACCGCACACGCCATTCCACACCTGCGCACACACCACCGTAAAATTCCCCACAGTTAAAAAAAAAAAAAAAAAAAAAAAAAAAACCCAATACTATATCTACTACGCACGGATTATCTACTCGAAATTCGAACGCCGATACCCAAATTAGATTCGTATATTTTTGTTTTTTGGGATACGTTTCGCACACGCCCGAAACTAGTAACACACAAACCAAAATGTACATGCCTGTATCACGAAACGCACATACCAAAACGCATAATTTTATGAAAAAAAACCAGCACGTCATGGTGTACGAGCCCTGTTACAGTAAAACGCATACACCATTCCACACCTACGCACACACCACCGTAAAATTTCCCATAATTTAAAATGACAAATGTACAAAATATAATTAAATATTACTATTGATAGGATCCCTAATATTCTGGTAAGATTCTATTTTAAATATAACCAAAATTAAAAACCAAAATGCAATTACCCTTTCATCCTTGACTTTTAAATATATCCTTATTTAATTATTGTTTGACTTTCAATCCTATTCATCAATTGAAAAACTTTATCAATGGATGAGATAGGATCTCATAATCTCACCTCATTGGGTTGGTCTCACTAGATTCAATATATATATATATATATATATATATATATATATATATATATATATATATATATATATATATATATATACACTTAGCTTGTGTTATTAATATTCATTTATTATATAAGTTTATGTATCTTTTATAATTAAAAATGTATAATGAATTAAACTTGTTTATGGGTTAGTGCCTCAGAAATTCAATTGAATTATCATCTTATTGTCTTAATTTTTTGTTTATGAAAATTGAAAAGGAACAACACAAATAACTTAAGTAGCAAACACTTCTCTATCTCTATATATATTAAAGCAAAATGGTTGGCACAAAAATTTTCCCCCCAAAATTTAGGGGCATTTTTGTAAAACCAAACTCATGATTATGAACAAAACATATATATTTTCATAAAATTTATTAACTAACCATATATTAACCTACTTCTCTCATATAAGATTAGACCATGAGCAATTACATATAGGTATAATAAGATAATATTATATTTATATATTATTATATACTATACATATATATTATTCCAAACAAATATACATATATATCGTACATCATATGTAGTTATTAGGATAAGATTTAGTAATGATATATATAATTGGGAAAAATAATTTAATTATATATATTAATTTAAAAATAATCTATTAAAAAGGTTTGAAATGATATAATAAATTATTTTAAAAATTTTTGGCAGATTGGAATGTCGCAAAAGTCTCCTTGCAATTAGAAATTTTTATTTGTAATTATGAAATTAATTACCATATATAAAAATAGTCTATTAAAAGACAGGATATTTATTTATATAATAATTATTTCCATATGAATATATGTAATTGTCAATTACATAATTAGATATAGGTATAATAGGATAATACTATATTTATATATTATTATATACATATATATCGTACATCATATATATAGTTATTAGGATCGTATTTAGGAATGATATATATAATTGGGTAGAATAATTTAATTATATATATTAATTTAAAATTAACATATTAAAAGGTTTGAAATGATGTAGTAAATTATTTTAAAATTATTTGACAGATTGGAATGTCGTAAAAGTCTCCCTACAATTAAGAATTTTTATTTGTAATTATGAAATTAATCACCATATATAAAAATAGTCTATTAAAAGACAGGATATTTATTTATATAATAATTATTTTCATATGAACGTAACTGTCAATTCCATTATTTACAATATACATAATATTCTTTAACAATGTTAAAAAAAAATAACATTAACTACTACAAATTTATAGGCCGTGCATCGCACGGGTGTCATACTAGTAATACAATATATACAAAACCAACTAACACAATTTTAGTTCTAATTATGGACTAACAAGTAATATTTTTGGCTCTTATTAAATTTTTAGAGTTATATTCAAACTTATAAAAAGAATCAATGTGATAATTAGAATTGTAGTATAAAATTTTTATTAAATTTAAATGTAATATTAAAAATTAGAGTTGTGGGTTGGGTATTACCCGCACCCGCAAAATCTATGCGGAGACAGAGATGAGTAGGAATTTCATTACCCGCGCGGGTGCGGGTGTGGGGAGTGGGTTGTGAATGCGGGGGTGGGCCTGGGGATGTATCCCCGCACCGACCCCCGCCTCATTGCTATTCCTAGTTGCTGATATTTTGGTTAAGATGAATGTTAAGCTCGACTTTTCCTGCTAAATACGCATCTGTTAAGGATCCAACAGATTCACATTGCATCCTAGGTGATGAAGAAACTATAAACAAATAAGATTATTGTAATGTACGCAATCTAAAGTGGGAAAAGAAGGTGTGCAATCTGACAATAAAAAGGGAAATTACCATGTTAACCCTGTTTCTAACCGTCAATAAACGAAATTGTTAACAAAAAAACTAAATTGGGTAAAATAATCAAAATCGATGACTAAATTAAGCGCACAAAGAAACATAAGACTAAATCAAGTAAAATCACTATAGTCGAGGACTATACTAAGTATTAATTAAATAGACATTGTATACTACTCAAGACTTATGTGTCAATTTAATAATAATAATAATAATAATAGTTGAGATGTATAATAGAGATGATATGGCATATTACATGAAATTTACCGGATGATTACCTATAATGGGAAGAGGGGCCATTTTATTTTTATTTTTATTTTTAGTTTGAATGTTTATTTGAAACGGTTTTTGAGTTCCATAATCTAATTACATTTAAAAAAAAAAAAATTATCCAAGAATATATTTGACCTTATCAAAAAAAATTATTACTTCAAAATACGAGTGTACAGTCAACTACATATCTACATTGTTTAGCTCTATTTTCTAATTTTCTATTTAGAAAATATGCTTTCCCTCTTTCAATGGAAAAAAGTTGGAAAATTGATAAACAAACTCCACTTGGATATACATTCTATTTTTTAAAATTTTTTAAAAGAAAACTAATAAAGATATCATTCATTATATTGCTAGCTAGGACAATTCCCCTTTTTTTTTTTTTTTTTTCAATATTACAAAATAATTCATTTCAAAGAGTAGAATCAATTACCTAGGAGCGGTAATATAATACGTAATTAACAGTAAGATCAATATAATACGTAATAACGGTAAGATTATGATATATGATAGATAATATCAAACGTAATAAATTGGTATACGGTGTGGTCAGGTGGGTAATAATATAATATAAGTGTGATTACAAGGCAATCAATGGAGCGGAGATAGTAACATTCACTGAAAAAAGACAAAAATGTAATTTATTTCCATATTTGAACTTTAATTAAAGAACGTGAGCTGGATATATAGAGATTCCGCGTGTAGGATTGAATTAAGCTGTAATCCAAAGGCCCCATTCTTCTTCGCCTCCTCTACTCTCTACCTATATATATATCCCTCTCTCCTCTTCATTTTCTTCATTCACAATAAATTAAACCATTTTGTTGTTTTATCGATCAGAGCACCTTTTTAGTTGGGTCGTCTATCATGGAGTTTATTATGGTCATGCTATTCACATTGGCCACCATTTTCTTCTTGAAAAAATGGTTCTGTTTTGGCAGCAAGAAACTGGGTCTCCCACCAGGCACTCTTGGCTGGCCATACATTGGAGAAACATTCCAACTTTACTCTCAAGACCCCAATGTCTTCTTCGCCTCAAAAGTCAAGAAGTTAGTGAAAACTTTCCCCTTCATTTTCTGGTTATTTTTACTGTTTTTGTGAATGGTGTGATCATTAGTTCATTACAGGTATGGGTCTATATTCAAGACTCATATATTGGGGTGCCCTTGTGTGATGATTTCGAGCCCCGAGGCGGCGAAGGTGGTTTTGGTGACCAAAGCTCATCTCTTCAAGCCTACATTCCCAGCTAGCAAAGAGAGGATGCTGGGGAAACAGGCCATTTTCTTCCACCAGGGAGACTACCATTTCAAGCTCAGGAAGTTGGTTCTCAGAGCTTTCATGCCGGACGCCCTCAAGAACGCGGTCCAGGATATCGATTCCATCGCCAAGCACACGGTTCAGTCCTGGGAAGGCAGGCTAATCAACACCTTCCAAGAAATGAAGACGGTAAGGACTTGAAACTGTTATGTTCTGGACTTGACCCTCCTTCAAGCTTCCGCCCAACAATCTCTCTAGCCACCTGCTGTTAAAAGATTTAACTTTATTCCTTACAGGGGCCGCACTTTTTAGAGGAAGGGTGTTAAAATTGACCCTTCAGCCTCTGTCCAAGAATCCCTAACCACCAATTTGACCCTTCGTCGGCCTCTGCCCAACAAAAACATTGACCTTAATCCCTAATCACCTTGGTCCTTGAGACCTTTGCCCAATAACCCTTAATTACCTGGTGTTGGATTTGACCCTTCACCTGTCCAGAATCCCTTGATTTTGGTTGTTTGAGCAATTTTTGTTTGTTTCCTCCGCCCAACAGAAACATTGAAATTGGTCCTTCGGGCCTCTGCACAACAATCCCTAACCACCTAATGTTGAATTTGACCCTTTCGACCTCGGTCCTGCAGAAACATAGGACAGAAGAATCCCCTGTTTTTCGTTGTCTAACCAATTTTGTGTTTGTTTCAGTACACTTTCAACGTGGCATTGCTTTCTATATTGGGAAAGGACGAGGTTATTTACAGGGAGGATCTGAAGAGGTGCTACTACACCCTGGAGAAGGGCTACAATTCGATGCCGGTTAACATCCCGGGAACGCTGTTCCACAAAGCCATGAAAGCCAGGAAGGAGCTGGCTCAAATCTTGGGGGAAATCCTGTCAATTAGGAGGAGTACGATGAAGAACAACGACAGCCCTAACGACTTGGTCGGATCATTCATGGGCGACAACGAAGGCCTCACCGACGAACAAATCGCAGACAACATAATTGGCGTGATTTTCGCGGCCAGGGACACCACAGCCAGTGTTCTTACTTGGGTCCTCAAGTACTTAGCTGAGAATCCCTCTGTCCTGGAAGCTGTCACAGTAAGATCAGACTCCATTGCATAAAAAATAAAATATTATTTCTTTTTTTTTTTTTTTTTTTGTTATTATTGGTTGATTAAGTTGGGATTTAATTAATGGGATGGTGGCTTTATAGGAAGAGCAAGAGGCCATATTGAAAGGCAAAGAGGGGCAGGTTCTGTGTTGGGAACATACCAAGAAGATGCCTTTAACTTCAAGGGTGATTCAAGAAACACTTAGGGTGGCATCAATTCTGTCTTTTACTTTCAGAGAAGCTGTTGAAGATGTTGAATTTGAAGGTCAGCTTCAACACCTAGCCTGCTCTCACCCCCCTCCCCCCGCCCCCCACACACACAAACCCACCCCATCTGACTAATTTCCGTTCACTCCGAGAGGCACAGGAACTGGTCCAAGGGTCAGAATTGTAACTTGGAGTCAAACCCAGTTTATCTCAGAAACCGTCCTTACGAAAAAGCTCATTTGCTACTTAAGCTACCATTTGGGTTAAACCGACCCAAGAGTTAACAAAGTTAATACTTTGTTCAATTCTGATGTCATAGGCTTGGTTTGTTTTTGGAAATGATTTTCAGGGTATCTCATACCAAAAGGGTGGAAGGTGTTGCCTCTCTTTAGAAACATTCATCACAGCCCAGAAAATTTCCCAGACCCAGAAAAATTTGATCCTTCAAGATTTGAGGTAAATTTTTTGATTACTTATCAATTCTTTATGATATATATATATATATATATATATATATATATATATATATATATATATATGTTACATTCAATTTTACCCATGTAAATCCCCTAAAACTGAGACAAATAATTGGTGTGATGTGACAGGAAGCTCCCAAACCCAACACATTTATGCCATTTGGAAGTGGGATCCATGCATGTCCTGGGAATGAGTTAGCCAAGCTTGAGATTTTGATCCTTGTACATCATCTCATCACAAAATACAGGTTGGTCAAAAAAGAAACTCTCAACTTCTACTTCGTTTCTTCTTTTCTGGGAATTCACATGATGAAAATAGCTTATTCTTATCCCATTAGACAGTAAAATTTAAGAGTATATATAGCAGATGCTTGTCAAAAAAGACTTGTAGACCCAATAACTTACTATAATTATCATAATTTCTTCATCATTTTTGGTGATGGGCTTTCAAAATAGATTAAGCAATGATAAGATTTGGTTTGTGGTGTTATGTTGCAGGTGGTCTATGGTGGGCCCACAGAATGGAATTCAGTATGGACCCTTTGCTCTTCCACAGAATGGGTTGCCCATAAGGCTGTCTCTCAAAGAAACCCCATCCACACTCATACAATAAAAGTTGGCATTTTCTGTTCTGAGGCACAATAAACATGAACAGACAAAATCAATCAGCAAAAGTGTGAGAAAATTTTAGGGAGAAATTAAGCAAATTGTAAATAGTGTGTTCCCATGCATACTACAATAAGAGTTGTAAGGGAACTAACTCAAATTGAGTTGACTAGAGATCCATTATTATTATTATTTTAACAAAATAAGAAACTCATATAGAGCAAAAGCCAAAGGGGTTAGTTTAACATCATAGTTAAATTCTTATTTTTTTGTTGCATTGTTTGTTAGTTTCTTGGCATGCTTGTAATGTAATCTAGTTGGAAGTTATTGGAAATCTCCTTTTTGACGGCACAACTTTTCTCTAACGTATATATGGGAGTATTTATTTCTTCTCTTACTTGTGTGTTTTGACATTGTTGCGAAGACTGATAAAGGCAAAGTCTAGTATCCGATGGTTGCGGAATTGTTGGAAGGAGGTCGATAAAGGTCAAGTGCAGCACTCAGTGTCTCGAAAATGTGTGGCGGTATAAAGAAATAAAGTTGTGTATTCACTACTAGCTATAGCTTTTGGAGGGGTAAGTGTTTGATCCTAACAAGTGGTATCAAAGGGAGGTCATGGGTTCAAGTACGAGCTATAGCTTTTGGCGTAATGGTAAGCGATTGTTCCTAATAGACATGGTTGGATGGCCAACACCAGTGGTGGAGCCAGAAAGCTGGGGTTGGGGGGGCCAAATTTATAGAAGAAATTTATTATCTTATTGTGCCAATTATTATTGATAATTATTTTTAATTATACTATGTACAATAATATATGAAATATATAATTATATGAGTACGATCGTTAAGATTGTCAAACATTAATTTTGAATTTTTTTACATAACACAAAAAGTATACAATAGTAAAAAATAGGAAAAATTACATTTTTAACCACTAAGTTATAGGGTAATTGAAGAATTCATAATTATTAGTCATACTTACTTTTCGTCCCTAAAATATACTCCGTAATTGATGTTGCAAATTTCGTCCCTTTACTAACAAAACATTAGGAACGAAGTATAGCTTAGAAAGAAAGAGTGACCACAACATGTCATTTAAAGGACGAAATTTGCAACGTCAATTATAGTTTAGAGACGAAAAGTGAACACGACCAACAATTATGGACGAATTCTATAATTATCTCATAACTTAGGGACGAAAAGTGTAACTTTCGAGTTCATTTAAAATATACATAATAGATTATTTTTAAAAAAAAAATTAGGAGGGGCCAAAAGTATAATTTATCCATATTATAATAATATATACCTATATATTTATTAAAAACAGGGGTGGGGTTGGGGGGGGGGGGGGGGGGGGGGGCCAGGGCCCCCCTTGGGGTAGGGGTGGCTCCGCCCCTGGCCAACACAATTGCATTTGGATATTTTTCGAAGTTTAAGTTTAACTTAATTTGTACCAAATGTTCACAATTTACCTTTTAAAAATTGACAATTTGTATACTATGAACACACAATGTTACATATATGTAATTGATTATCTTATTTTGTATTAAAAAGTTCCTTTCAAATACTACAATCACACAATATTAACAGATTAGGATATTATGACCCTGTATTGTATTCACAAATTCCCTTCTACAATTGTTATGTATTTTGAATTGATTTAGAAACACAATTTATATTCTAAAAGTTTACAATTCCAATACTAAAATTACACTATTTATACGTCGTTTAGAACCAAGGTCCACCTTGCAAAGTGGACCCTAATCCATGGTATAACAATTCTCTGATAGCACTCTTGGTTTTTTTTGGCAGCAGAAGATCCAGTCACGCTGCGGAGGATAAAAAGAAATATAGTTTAATTTATTCTCTAATTAAAAAATTATTAAATATATTTCATTTTCAAGTCAATCCAAACAAATCAACAACTGACTTTTTACCTATATATATATACTTCCATTCAATCATGGCGTCACCTCTGATCCAATGCTCAATTTTTTTAAAAAAATATTTGACTTTAACAAATTCAATTGTATAGTATAACAAATCACGTAGCAGCTGACCTTATTAAGTTAGCAACACTTGTCTCTCTTCCAGCCTATGATCGCTACTTCTAAACTACCATCATTATATTGTTACAGCTTAGCCGGGAATCACATCATCTTAGCTTATTCAATCCATAATTAATTTAATTTGTTTAATCCATAAGAAGAAATAATTAAATATTGAATACGTACTATTCAATTATAATGCATGCTCAAGTCCGATGAATGTGATGACACAATGTAGGGTTTTAATTTAAATAATTAAGTTTTATATATTTCATTATACATTAAAGTATATTAAGAAGAATGTTTTAAATAATGTTTAACGATAAAACTTATGGGTCCGTTTACTAATAGAAAACTGTTCTCAATATTCTGGTTTTTAATTTTTCAGTTTTCATTCTCTGTTTTCTGTTTAGAAAACTTGTTTACTAACAGAAAATTGTTCTCTGTTTTCTTTTTCTAATTTTTTAGTTTTTACCTAAAATTTAGTTTAGATAATATTAATATTTTTTGAGCTAATATTTAAAATAATTTTTTTTTTTTGGATATATTCATTTGAATGACATGCATGTATATGAATATATAACTTTTACTTTGAATTCTAATATATATGAGATATCAATATTCGATATCTAGACCGAATTTGTATTATAATGTAACATAATTAAAAATATTCGAACTAATAATTTATTGAGTTCAATCAAAATCTAAAACATTATATAGAGTTTAATTCTTAATTTTGATAATGTAAATAATGTCTAACTTTAAAATGTAAACAAATAAAATTATGTTTAAATAAGTAAAGTAGAAAATATAGAAGATAGTGATAAGTAAAATAAGATGATAATGAATATAATCATATTAATGTGGTTATAGTGACATATAACTAAATAGATGATAGATGATTCTGTTTTTCATTTCGAAAACAGTTTTTAAGTGTGTTTCAGTTTTTCAGAAATTTTCAAAAATTATTTTCAGTTTTCAAAATAGAAAATTGTGTTAGTAAACATGTTTTCTGTTTTCTATTTTCCAGTTTCCGAAAATTTTCAGAATTTTCAGTTAGTAAACGGCCCTTATATATTTAAAAAGGACATTTATATATGTATGTTTTGTTAAGCAAGTACAAAAAATGATCAAATTTGTTTGAAAATTATATTAAAAAGAAAGATAAAAGGGTAAATAAGGCTCAATCTATATTTTATAAAGTTTTTGTATTGTTTTTGTTTAGTTTCAATGCTTTTTCTTTTATAGAAAAAATTGAAATTTATACTCTTCACAAATATGTCAATTAAAAATATTACTTCTGAATTATTAGTAGTGTAAATATTACTTCTCGATTTTCAAAACGTTAGCGTTACGGTAGTTCAATTCAAAAATACATCAACACATGAATTTTTCATAATCACAACTGTGAACTTATCAATCAAATGTTCTCCCGACGTATACGTTAGTTTAATTTATTATTCTATAGAAAAAAAAAACATTTAAGTCGCATTGTTAATAAGTTCAAGAATGGCAGCTAGCTTAGCTACTTAATTAGCTTTCCAGTTCCAGTACGTACAGTAGTCATCATTTTACATGCAACATACACTTTTGTCAATGCCAAAGATATTTATAAATATTTATTAATATTTATCTTACAATTATTTAGGTTGTTGAGGTTTACCAATACGTGGCATGTATTTACAACGTTGATTACTGTTATTACGTTCTTTCATAATCAAAATTTTTTCTTTGATTTTGATAATTATATATTGGCCCTACTGCGGGCAGTATTTGTTGTCTTATTTTGAATGAGATGATCGAGCTGTGTTCATCTAACAACTACACATCACATTTTCTATGTTCTCAATAATATACAATTCGCCCATGAAATCAATTCTTTTTTTTTTTTTCTTAATGTTTAATTTTTAAACAATTTCATATATATATAATTATGATAATAAGTTACATAATTAATTATGATTAATTCCAATTTTTTTTATTCTAAGAATCAACTTTGTAATATCAAATTTAATTTGCCAAGTTATGGGAGTTGCATGTTTGAATGCTATGAATTTCACTTCTATCTTTTACAAATATCTTGTGTTAGGCTGCATGTTTGACTCGATTGTTGAAACACAGATCTCAAAATTTTGATTTTAATTTACCTCCTATGAAATCTCTATGCTTTTTCATATATAAACCTAATTCTGCCAACACTTCATATCTAAATTGCGAAGTCTTCCTTTGTTCAATTAGTTCGTTGAAACATTTATATTTGAGTACTTTTATATATATATATATATATATATATATATATATATATATATATATATATATATATATATATATATATATGCAGGGACGGAGGGACTGCCCCCCTCACCCCACCCCCACCCCCACCCCATATATAGTATTTGTATGTATATATGTATATATAGTACCTGTTTTAGTATTAGTATAAAAAAATTATAAAAAGTTATCAAGAAATGAGTTAGAGTAGGTGGTAGAGCACATCATTGGTAATAATGAGGTTAAGGATTCCAATCTTAGCATCAACATAGTTTTACAATTTTTTTTAATAGCTTTTTAATATTACACACACACTCTATTATAAGATGTGTAATTTATAGTGTGTTTTCTATTTAAATTATTTTATTAATTATGTTTCATATTTTGTTATGAATATTTTAATAAAGTTTCGATGTGTTTTATTTTTCGTCCATATCCAACAATATTTACAATTATATTTCTAAGGTAGTTTATTTATTTATTTTTAAATTATCTCTTTTGTTTTAATGCTTCGTCTTTTCTGAAAAAAAAAATTCTGAATCCGTCTGTACTATTTCGCCCCCCCTCAACCGAATTTCTGGCTCCGTCCATATATATATATATATATGTGTGTGTGTGTGTGATCCATTGTATCATGAGAAGTCTATACTTCAACACTCTTAACACTTTCGGGAAGAAGTGAATCAACTTTAAAGAAAGTTATATATATATATATATATATATAAAAGTTGATTGAAGTTTAAATATTGGTATCGTGTATATATCCATTAATTTTAGTAGGAGAGAAAATACTAATAAATGCAAAGTGGTTAACAACCTTGAATTTGGATTTTTGGAAGATTCTCATCAAGTTTGATTTAGGTATTTTCAACATGCATGCATGCATGTTTACCTTGTTTTTCGTTGAATATATATAAACCACTAGCTCTTCTTTTCCAAAAACATCCATATATTTCAATGTCAGATGGATAAGCATACAGTTGCAGGTCAGATCCAGAACACAGGATTCTTGGGGATCATACTTTACCCAGCTAC